AAATAGTAGTATCAGAAAGCTGACCGGTAATGATGACTATTCAAAAACTGAACAAATGGTTTCGGTAGCCAGTAAAATTAAAGAGCTTGACATCGTAGATTATAGATTGGTTCCAGCAGTTACCACTGACCTACTCGGCACATGTTTGGCAATCCCATATTGAATGCAATGCACTGTGAAAAAGGCGATTTTATAATGCCGTCTTTATCACTCCTATTTTAAATTTGTCTATCTTTGCTACTACATTAGATATTTGGAAAACACCTTGCTCAATATGGCTAATATTGAGATTCCATCAAGATAGGGATTACGAGGTGCTAGAACCTATATTTCCATTTATAAGCTGATCTTGTACCTTCTCACGTTACGGTGAGAATCACGATGTAAAATCATAGATGCTCTTAGCGCTGATTAAGCGCTTACCAGACTTCGTTAGAAGCCTTGGTGATTCAAATGGTCATCCGTTTAGACTTAGCGTAAGGCGTGACCCTATATGATATTTTGGCATCTACAAAATTATATCTTAGATCAATGCCACTAGTGTTTCATGCGAGAGGCAAAGCCACACACACAACTGTATACCGCAATCCTGTTGTAGCTGGCAGTACAAGATCTGTTTTTGACGCAAATTTAAAAGTTCAAACTAATTTTTCAGAATCAGCTATGCCTATAAAGGGTTCGGAAATAAAATATGGCATTCTGTACACATTTGGATCCTCTATACTCTATCCGCTACCTAGGATAAATTCACTTTACGAACCTAAAGAAAAAACCAAGGGATTGAAGCAAAAAGCAAAGACGAGTAGAAAAAGCTCCTTTGGCGCCATAGTGCTCTGGCAAGTTCTTCTTTTCAGTTTAGGTGTCTCCTCATTTAGACAAGGACCATTTAGTGAGCATCTAACTTGTAATTTTTGATTTGAATAACTCTCATGCAGAAGTTGCCTGTGGAAATGATTAGATGCAGGATACTACTGATATTTACTGCTTCTCAAAAACCGTAACGACCTGGTTCTTCAAATAATTAAACGTTCCATTTTATTCAGTAATAGTTCGTTGAAGCTAATGCACAACCTTTTTCCAAGTACAAACGGTAAGCTAGAGCAAGGCAGGTAAGGAAAGAACAAATCATTCTAAGTTTGTC